GAACCAATGTCCCACTGTTACTGTGTCCCGCACTATGGACTCGGTCACCCTCCCCTTCTGACGCCTCTTGACGGATCTTATCAGCTGCTATCATTCCCTGTCACCCATCAATAATGTTCCTGTCCCACGTCCTATATCATACCTTGGAACCAATGTCCCACTGTTACTGTGTCCCGCACTATGGGCTCGGTCACCCTCCCCTTCTAAGGCCCCTTATCGAATCTTATCAGGTGCTATCACATTCTATCACCCACCAAAAGTGTTCCCGTCCTGCCGTTCATTTTCTAGGGCTATCAGGGAAGTGATGGCTAAAGGAAAAGTATGCACACTGAGCCTTTGATACTTGGGGGTATAGTGATAAGAGAGGTAATGATAATGGCCCCTTATCCTTTCTTATCAATTGATAAGATCCTGTCACCCGTCATCAATGTCCCTATCACTAAAACTCTGTAATTTGGTAGTGTAAAGGCTCCAGCAATTTGACTGAACAGCATTGGCAACGTTCCTTATCAGCCCCTATCAGCTGTTATCACCTCACGTGCCGTGTCTCCAACTCTATATCATTTTCTGAAATTAATGCCTAGCTGATGCTGTGTTCCGCGTTATGAGTATGGTGACCTTACCATTCTAACTCCCCTTATCAAATCCTATCAGCTGCTATCATTCCCTGTCACCCATCAATGTTCCTGTCTCACGTCCTATATCATGCTGCAGTGCTTGGAACCAATGTCGCCACATGTTACTGGTGTCCCGCAATATTGGACTTGGTCACCTCTCGCCTTCTAAGGCGCCTTATGCGACTCTTGTCAGGTGTTCTATCTACAATCTATCACCGCCGCGCCATCAAAAGTGTTCCCGTCCTGCCATGAGGCAGGGATAGCCCGGTTAAGAGTGTAGACTCATAATCTCACTCTGAGCCACGAGTTCGATCCCTGCCGAGGCACAAACCTGCCTTGCAAAAATTGCAAAAATGGGGACGATACCAGCGTCAGGCCCAGGTTGACAGGCCGGCTGATGGAGGAACCCGTCACAACAACCATGACAAGTCGCAATAGAATCAGTGTAAAAGCTAGGACGTCACCCGGAAGTGGCGCGCAGAACCCTCGCCCGAGTTCTGTGGTCAGTATGCGAGGGCTACCGAGGGGTGAACGACCTCGGCCAAAGAAGCTAGTTCGAATTGGGACCCTGAACGTGGGGTCGCTTACCGGGAAGTCTCGTGAGGTTGCCGACCTCATGAGACGCAGGAATATCCAAGTCCTATGCCTGCAGGAAACGCGATGGAAGGGTGCGAAGGCCCGCGAGATCGGAGAAGGTGTTAAACTCTTCTACAAGTGGAGCAGACACCAAACGGAATGGCGTTGCCATAGCGGTGGCAGAATCCCTCAAGGACTGCGTCTCCACTGTGAACAGGATCAGTGACCGGATCATGGGAGTGAGAATGGACACGAAGGAGGGGTACTGGACAGTACTGACCGTCTACGCGCACACACAATCCGGTTGCTCTGAAGCCGAAAAGGATAGATATCTACCTGACCCTGGACGAGGCCATAAGATCGGTTCCGGAAGAGGACTATCTCACCATAGCTGGAGATCTGAATGGCCATGTTGGGAGGGACAGAAGGGGTCTAGAAAGGGTGCACGGAGGTCAAGGAATAGGGACAAAGAACGCTGAGGGAGGACGAATCCTCGACCTAGCAACAGCCCACGACTTAGCAATCTGCAGCACCTTCTTCGCGAAAAGGAGGACCCAAAAGGTAACCTACAGCAGTGGAGGGAGACAAACGGAAATCGACCATGTCCTGGTCAGAAGATCGTCTCTCAAAACCGTCAAGGATATCAAGGTACTGCCTGGGGAAGAGCTGGGCCCTCAGCACAGGCCTCTCCTGGCAGACATCGCCATAGACCTCCCCAAGAAGACGAGGGTGAGAGCAGAGCGGAGAATTCGGTGGTGGAAAATGGGCAGGGTAGAAAAGGATAGCCTCGGCCGAAGAATACTGGAGGCTGGGCTCCCAGACCCACATGGGCCAGTCCAGGACACCTGGACCTACGCAGCAGAGGTCATCCTACAGTGTGCAAGGGAGGTCCTGGGAGAGACGCGAGGTGGTATCAGAGGAGACAAGGCAGCCTGGTTCTGGAACGAGGAAGTCCAGAGGATCGTCAAGCAGAAGAAGGAAGCATACAAACGCTGGCAAAAGACACGGAGCCCAGAAGACTACGCTGCCTACAAGAGCTGCAAGCGACTCGCTAAGGCGGCCGTTGCTAAGGCCAAGAATACGGAAATGGACGCCCTGTACGACAAGCTGGAAGGCCGAGAAGGGGACAAGTTCGTCTTCCGCCTGGCTAAAGCTCGGCATCGCGCAGCTCAGGACATCAGGGTCGTAAAGACTGTGAAGAGCAGCAACGGGGCCATTCTCAGGAAACCAGCCGAAGTCAGGAAGAGGTGGGAAGAATACTTCGAGGGACTTCTGAACGAAGAATTCCCTCGCAAGGATAGCCCACAGATAGAGGCGACGGCAGGTCCCATCACTCCCTGGACGAAGGATGAAGTTCGCCGGGAGCTAGGGAGAATGAAAGCTGGGAAAGCAGTGGGTCCAGACGGGGTACCGATAGAGGCATGGAAGGCCCTGGAGAGCATGGGGTGAGTTGGCTCAACCACCTGCTCTCGCCAGGGCCTTCCATGCCTCAAACAACGGTAACAGGTGAGGAAGGATGCCAGATGCGTGGAGGAGCAGCAATAATCGTTCCCATCTTCAAAACAGAAAGGGACGCGACGGAGTGCTCCAACTACCGCGGGATCAAGCTGACTCCCCATACCATGAAGCTGTACGAGCGCCTGGTCAACACTAGGCTGAGGGAACTTGTCCCTATCTCGCAGGAACAGTTCGGCTTCATGCCCGAGAGGTCCACCACCGATGCCATCTTCATCGCCAGACAGCTGATGGAGAAGTACCGAGAGAAGCGGCGACCCTGCTACCTAGCCTTCCTGGACCTTGAGAAGGCATTCGACCGCCTGCCAAGGCCTGTACTCTGGAGTGCGCTCAGAGAACGGAACGTTCCGGAACACCTCATCTCCTTAGTGAAGGACATGTACGATGGGGCTAAAGCAGCTGTACGCACCCCTCACGGCTTGACAAAGGAGGTAAACATTACGGTTGGGGTACACCAAGGGTCAGCCCTCGCAAGCCCGTTCCTCTTCCTCCTGACTCTAGATGTCATGGCAAAAGAACTCATGGAGGGACCACTGAAAACCATCCTCTATGCTGACGACATCGCCCTGATAGCGGACAGCAGGGAGGAACTTCAGGACAAGGTGCAGCGGTGGCAGGATGTGCTCGCTGCGAATGGACTCCGGCTGAACGTAAAGAAGACCAAGTTCCTAAGCTCCGAAGAGTGCGCCGAAGTCATCGTAGATCGCCATGGCGAGAGCATCGAAAGGGTCGAGGATTTCCAGTACCTGGGGAGCAACCTAGCAGCTGATGGCAGCGTGGACCAGGCGGTGACGGCCCGAATCAACGCAGCCTGGATGAAATGGAGGGAGTCCACTGGCATCCTGTGCGACCGGCGGTGCTCGAGAACGCTCAAGGGCAAGGTGTACCGGGCTGTGGTAAGGGCCTACAATGCTCTACGGCAGTGAGTGCTGGCCCATCTGCAAGGACCATGAAAGGCAGCTCCACTCAGCTGAAATGAGGATGCTGAGATGGGCCTGCGGCTGGACACGACTCGACAGAGTCAGAAACGAGGACGTCAGAGCAGTCACACAGACGGCTCCTATCCAGCTGAAGGCACGAGAGCAGCGACTGCGATGGTACGGTCATGTACTGAGGAGGCCCGAAGACCACCCAATAAGGAAGGCATTGGAACTCGAGGTAGAGGGCAAGCGACCACGAGGAGCCCCAAAGAAAAGATGGAGGGACGTCATCAAGAGGGACCTCACTGAAGTGAAAGCCACAGCAGAAGATGCAGTGGATCGGAACAAGTGGCGACGTCTAATAAGAACAGCGGACCCTGCGACGGCGCGGGACTAACGCTAGGGAGAAGAAGAAGAAGAAGAAGAAGAAGAAGAAGTAGCTTCGAATTGACAACAGCTTATGAACAAAATGTTCAATGTTGTTCAATTATTGGCGTGAAAATGCTTTCAAAGTCAACGACACCAAGCGTTCTGATTTTCGGTTACTCTAGCCCACCGCAATGGCCATAAGAAATTACTAGATTTGCAGTGAAGTTACTGTTGTCATCAATGGTACTCGGCTTATTACATACTTCGGCTATGTGACATCCTTTGAACCCAGGCGAACTATCGTCAGATATTCTCCCGAAAATGTCCCCTGACAGCAAGTGGTAATATGTATATCACTTCTTGGTCCTATCTTTTCTGCGACGCTCGCTATGAATTTCGTGACAGACAGACGGACGCACACACACACACACACACACACACACACTTACAGACATACTTAGCGGATTATATATAGTACGATCACTGCAAATACGACTCCCTCCGTTCTAGAAAGGCCCGAATACGTCCCACTCCTCCCCCACCCCCCCCCCCCCCTTGCTTGCTTATTTCGGCACGTCCTGTTCCTCCCCGCAACGGGCGCTACGAGGCCCAACGTTTAGTGACGTTGCAGAATGCTTTGTTGCGGACACTGCGGTGTTGACCCTGAAAATCGCGCCACATCTGTGACTGGGGGATCCAATAATTCATCAGCGAACCACCATTTCGACTTTGGTAATCACATGAGTTTCCTTTGAAATGGCTTTTTATAAGAGTCGTACCGATGCTCTTCTAATTTGCATGGTAATTGTAAGTCGAACTGGCCCAGTTTCATTGAATTAGTTTTATTATCACTATTTAATTATTATTAGCAATCAGTTATCAGTTAATATTACCTGAATCAGTCCCAATGCTGACCACAATTAACCATCCATCATCGAAAATATTTATATTCATGAAGATATCTCGAGCGTTTCAGTTTTCCAGACATTTCATCTGAATTCAGGCGATTTTTTATTGATTGATCGGAACTCGTTCGAGATTCGCGAACGACACAACCGTGGCGGATTCTATGGCTTTGGTGGTGACTTTTCGTTTCAGACGAGACGTAATCTGTTGATTGCCTGTGAATGGGGACATCCGCGACTGTTTCGCGGTGGTTTCACGCGCAGCGACATCGAGAATGGTGGGTTTCAGGACCCTGCAGGTTGGATCAGTAGTTATTTGTTGTTTTTCTACTAATCACTCCAAAATCGGTCGAAGGATTTCAGTGGGGTAAGTTGGCAAGTGAGGTGGTGCAGTGCTCACGCGTGAGGTCTAACTCCGGATCGGCTCCCGCCCAGGCCAACCAAGCGTTCTACCCTCCGGATGCGGCGAATTGATCTTGATTTTTAGCTCTGTCTGGGGAGATAGAACACTGAATAGTATATCGGCTACCTCACGCAGTTGTATAGATCACCACATCAAAAAGCCACTACGTTTTGAATGGAAGTAAATTGCGTGCCACATTCCATACACGATTTCATAAAGGCGGAGGCTTTTTGAAGAAGTTTATCACATGTGCTTCATACACCTCTAGTTGGCTACGAAGCCAAAGTCCCTTGGAATTGTTTTTTTTAATAGTTTTTCATTTTTTAGTTCGTTTGTGGCTACGCCCTTCCAATTGTTGCTAAAGTTTTCCACGCTAGATGGGTAGGGTCTGAAAAAGAAAGAAAGGGGAATTTAAATTGAAATGATTACAACATTACACTACAGCCTATTACATTGTAGGTAATGAAGTGGAAAAACTGAGGACGGATGGGGAGGAGCAGAGGGGAGGAGGCCGTATTGTGCAGAATTTTTCCTGAGCGACAGGCAGATCACGCCATCGTTGTGATGATCACAACGGGGGTGGTATTTGAGAACTATACAACTGCTATTTCCGATAGTTGAAAGTGATAGTTGAATCCTGATGACTCCCCCCTCTGCTCTCGACGGAAAATTCTTGGCTGAGAAACTGAAATTTTTCGGGAAAAATGGAAAAAGTGGTAGGAACCTGGGGAAATCTAGAAAAGTAGTAGGTAGCATGGGGGGGGCGTATTTGAGGATAGAATTAGGGGAGGGTCGTATTTTTCAGGAAAAGATCACAGCGCAGTGGGGTGCCCTGGCAACGGACCTGTCCCAGCAGGGGTGCCACACCTCAAAGGGTCTTGCAGTACTGCTGATATATGTATTCCAACCAATAGGTCCGACTCCGTCGTTCCCATGAATAGGACGACATAGCAATTCATGCCGCCCAACCACCTAGCAACGAACCCACTTTGTACTCTCTAATCAGTGCACCCAAATCCTAGATGGGAAAACGAAACATCAGTATTTCAAATGGTTTTGCGCACACATATTACCTTTTTTACTGCTTATCAGAATTCTGAAATTCTTTATTTTTTGGTCCATATTTGTTCAATTATGTCGCAAACTCAACTTTTTCCAGTTTCTGGAACATTTGGCAGTCAACTGCATGTATGGCAGATTTCTCCGAGCATATTACAGGAGAGCATAGAGCTTGGTGCATTTGACGGATGTCTTACTACTACCGTCCGGTCAGTTTCATTTCCTTCGATGTTTTGGTCTGAAATTTGAAAATCAAAAAGAATACCATTTGAAAAAAAGCCCACAATGATGGCTATCAAAAATCGAGGAGGTGGACTGGGAGACCATAGTCAAACCACCACACTCTGCTGACATAGCAGCCTATGACTGCCACTTATCTCATGGTGTTTCTGCTATGATTAATAGAGCAAGCCATAGGTGGGCTCAACCATGAACGCCTATGTGAAAAATGGTCCCGATCAAGGAAAAAGTAAAAAAAAGCCGCGGGTTTTTAAAGAACACCTCATTTACTGCAGTTGACTTGGCGCAACTGTGAAACATAGAACGAGCCTAAGATTGATAAACACTGAGCTCACGAAGCAAAGGCTAAACGACGACTGCCAAAAGAGCATACACGCTCGAGCACCGCGCACCAACTGGGGCGTGAAGGCAGCGTTCAGACCTAACGCACTTTCAAACGCAGCAACACGCGTCGCTGTGCTTGAATACGTGTTGCTGCGCACCTAAAACCACCAAAATCGAGGAAAACTCGTCCTACTGGTAGCTTAACCTCCTGAACAAGATTATCATATTCCCTTGGCTCGCAACCGCCTGGCGCCCGCGCCACAGGGTCCTAGCCTGTTAAGGCCGCGTTCATAGCTTGCGTTCGTGAAGAAATGCGGAAATGCAGAAGTGCGGAAAGTGCAGAAGTGCGGAATCTGCAGAAAAGCAATAGATACTTATCGACTTGAAGAAATGCAGAAATGCCGAAACTGCAGAAGTGCGGAAAGTGCAGAAATGACGAAAAGCATTACATACGTATCGATCTGAAGAAATGCAGAAATGCCGAAAGTGCGGAAAATCGATACGTATGAATTGCTTTTCGTCATTTCTGCAGATTCCGCATGTCTGCACATTCCGCACTTCTTCACTTTCGGCATTTCTGCAGATTCCGCATTTCTTCACTTTCGTTCTTCCTAAATAGAACCCCATTTCTACCTCGGTTTGTACGTGCCCAGTCAACTCCATCTCCATGCCCCCATCTGCACGGCTGATTCCGCGATAAGAACCTGCGACCGCACAAGTGACGATTTTCATGCTTTCTCATCCTACAGCTCCGTTTTTCACTGAAAGCGGTCCTGGAAGGCGGAGTCTAGAGGCAGAGTCAAAAAAGGAGGCGGCACTGAACCTATATTGCGCTATAGCGCCCTCCCTTACAATTTTTTGCCGCAAAACCGGTACAAGGTTGTTCGTCGCGGACCACACTACCCTCCTGACGCCATATTTTCAACTTCTATACCTGATCGTGGACCGT